GTGAACGCAATAATAGAATATATACAACTCACAGATAGCATAGCTATGGTTGTTACGTTGGGGTAGTGTAACAAGGCTTCGATACTAAAAATGAGCGAGGTGGCTATGGACACAGCAAGCAGAACCAGAAATATCCATTGCGGGCCAGTAAGTCGGAAAAGCCTTTCATTCGGGGATAATGGATGTCGCAGTAGATTACAGCTGGTAAAAGCGATCACGCCCATCAGCTGCCATATATGGAGGTGTAACGGAAAATGGAAATTCAGGTCCACGAGAAGATATTTGGAGGTGACGATGGAAACGCTCGCGCAAACGGCCCAGACGTAGACATGTCGACTTCGTGCCGCGTCGGTCATATCCAAGAGACGGGAGCGGGCACCCTCTGATTGTACATGCTTGCGGTGCTCATGATCCGTCTCCATATTCCTGGCACGTCGGACGAGGTTCATGTACAATTTGTCGACCTCGCGCCGAACATGAGCACAAGGCCACTTGGCACCAGGAGGTAATGATGAGGGTGGTCGGGGCTCGATCGTGTGCGGAATAGCGATAGAAGTAGCGGAATGGAAGAGATCCGGGGTCGTTAGACGTTAGGATGAAGGAAGGTTGGTGAGCATCTCTCGCAGTTAGGGAAAGTCAGATGCTCCTGATGCCGCCGCGTAAGAATAATCCGCATGTGCAGTTGAGGTTAATTTGGTGGACCTGCAGGGGGGCGCGCGGAGAGACCAAGGCCACACCCCGGCACCCCCGAGGCAGTCCGCAATGGCCCATCGCTCGAACACTCCCAACTCCGATCTATCCATCAACGACTTTGGCCATATCTAAGCCGGGAATCCAAATCCACTACATCAGGTATCTCTACACCCTATGTTATGCGCCACGAGTTGCTCTCAGCTGTTGCTGGGGCAAAAGCTAGGCAGTCAGCTGAACGCAAGGCGTAGCATACGACATCCGAGACCTCCCCATCTGACATGAATCACAACCTTATGTTGTATCAAACCCTACGCCCGACGAAGCTATCTAGATGCCTAGGGTTCTAGTTAAATATCAAAAGACGGCATATTCGAAATGTTGTAGCATATCCTGGCTGACCCTTATTTACGGTGGAGATAGACACTCTCCGACGAGTTCAACCGAAGTATCTTTCGACTGTCTGGTTAATTCTACTATTCGTTCTTTAAAGAGCTAGTCTTTCATGTCCAAAATAGGGCCGTTTCAAAGGAAGTTTGTGGCCGAACATGAAATAGTTAATCTAGGGGCATTGCTTAGATGAATATGTAACATCAGATGTGGGTCATTATATCGTTGCCTGGCCACTACATCATGTAGGATCCCGTGGATTCGTTCCGACCTGCCGGTCTTTCATGAACGACTAAACCATCTCGATATGATTTCCGTTGCCCAGTCAGTTTCATGCCTCTGCTTCATTCATTGGCGGAAACGAGAGGATGTTAGCACTCAACCTGTTGCCCTTCGGAAGAAGCCGTCCCGACGTTTTGGTCGAGTGCCAAAGTCCACTCACTCAAATTAATGATATTTCGGTTACTCCCAAGCTGCCGTTGGGAGCAGTTAAACCGTTGGCGTCGAAGTATCCTCTAAGTACTTATTGCTTCGTCTGTCCGAGGTAGACGGTCCTCAAGTTCGACTTATGAATGATGAAAGCACAACAAAGAATCAAGAGACATTTCGAGAGATAGTTTTTCTGGGTTATTAGCCAGCGGAAGATTACTTCTATTGAAAAAAAATCGTACATGAAGGATATTTGGGACTTCATGAACATATATCCTCTTGGCAGCCCTCGGTGTTCGGCCTTATGTACGCCTGACTAAGCCCCTTGCTTTCTCAGCCTCGCTCTTTCAAACACTCATGCCTCGCGAGCGAGGTGGATCGCAACAATCCATAGTACGAATCCTGTATCGGTTTTTGACCAATAGTGGCCAAAAATTCATTTGGCTTCAATGGATGCCAATGAATGCCAATAGAAACATGTGTGGAATGTCCAAGTAACATGTCTTTCACTGCCAGCTCCGAGGAGTGTCAACGATAGTATAAATATTTAACAATGCCGTTGAACAATGAGCTTCATTACGACCGAAATCCTATTCAGTTTCTTACACTTTACTACTCTACCTCCAACGCTTTGCCCAGACCATTGACAAGATGCTTGTTCTCGTAACAGGAATCACCGGCAACATTGGCCAACATCTCATCGAAAGCCTCACCTCAAGGGGTCATCAAGTCCGTGGGCTTTCTCGTGACTCTTCTAAACTCAGTCATGAACAAGTTGAAAAGTTGGAAAGCTTTGTCAAAATCGAAAACTATTACGACATTCCGGCAATCGAACGCGGTGTCAATGGTGTTGATGCGGTTATTTGCGCGTATACAGGCATCCCGATAACCACGGTTGACGCACAATTAATTCTGCTGCGAGCCGCAGAACGTGCTAATGTGAAGCGCTTCATTGCCTCATCCTGGGCCTACGACTGGCGTGCAACGACTCTTGGGGCTCACGACGGCTACGACGCACATCTTGCTTTCGAGAGCACCGCTACCCTTACCTCCACCATCAAACCCAACTGGATCTTCAGCGGTGCGTTAGCGGAGGTATTATTTTCTTTTCCGGGCCGTGTAAACTTCACGCCTCAACACAATGGTGCATGGGATCTGGCGAAGAACAGTATCGACATTTGGGGAACCGGGAACGAAAAACTATACTGGACGTCGGAGCGAGATGCAGCAGAGTTTGCGGCAGCAATTGTTGGAAGAGAGGGGGCCGAAGAAGGAGGGTACTGGACAGTGACTTCAGGAGTGCATTCTTTGAGGGAAATGGCTTTGATCTATGAGCAGGTCAGAGGAACGAAGATTACTTTGAATGAGAGAGGGACGGTGGGAGAGCTCAGGAGTGCTGCGTTTGAGGCGAAGAAGAAGGGAAATCGAAAGGTGTTCTGGGAGTACATCGGTTTCTTCTATTATCTCTACATGATTGATGGAACCTGGAAGATGGGTGAGCTGCAGAACAAGGAGCTTGGGGTGAGGGGAACTACTTTGGAAGAGTATCTCAAAGAACACCCTGAGATCTAAACATTGTCAAGCTTGTTATGCGCTGGACAGAAGCCATCCTTCCCTCTTCAGTATGTTTTGGTCGATGTATTCTTGAGATCAGTGTCCAAGTCTACCGTTATTTGGCTTGGCGCGCCATATCTAAAGTCTTTCTACAAAGTTTGTGGGATCATTGTCAATCAATGCGCATGATTGGATTTTATTATACGAGCAGCGTCATTGCTTCATTATCTTCAAGTTTCAATCGTGGACGTTGGGAACTCCATGCCTCTAACAAGATTTCGCTTATTAGGCAGCAGTTTAAAAGTATATCCGAAAAGCCGTATGCACACAGTCCATCGCCTAGTTACCCATTTCGGCGTCGATGAAACAAGAGGGGAAGACCGAAGATAAAACAAGAATGGTCTGATCTCTTATGATTGGCATCGGTGCCCCGGCTTAGCCAACGCGACCGCGCGTCCGTGAAATCCTTCCATTTTCCAAGGTCCTAAGCCTTGTTGCCTGGACACAACAAACATCAATCTACGCCTCAGGAGCCCCGCCTTGCGAAGGATACATATCTTCATCAACCACAGCTCATTTGATCTACACGAACTCAATTTGGCTCTGGAAAGCTACCAATTTCACTATATTCGACTTTCAACGACGTGGACAACCCCTGAAATCGCATCTCATCACAACCAGACATGGCTGGCAAGTGTTCCTCCACACCAGGCGAGCGAGCCCTACGAATTTTTCCTCTCATCGGCTTCATCCCCGCCCTGATCCTCCTCATCGTTTCGGGTGTGATCGCGAGAGCGATTCTCTGCTTCATCCTATTCGTCCCGCTTGTTCACACCCTCTTCTCTTCGCTCGCATACCTCTATCTTGCACGTCAGAACCGAAAGAATCATGGTTTGGATGGAGCACCCAACGGTCTACGCCTCGTTCTCCACAACCTCTGCACTTTCTGGCTCTGGCCAATCTCGGATCTCGCCCATGCCTTGACCTACCTGGGCTTGCTAATCGGAATCTGGGTAACCATGACACGCAATAATCATCATTATAGCTACTATTATTATCAGAGTGACGCTCCTGATGCCATGCTTGTCGCCTATGCCACGGTGGTCCCCCTCTTCAACATGTAAGTCCAAAATCTCCGAATAAGTATTTCCAGTACTGTCGAGGTTTGGATGGCCATTAATTCGCCCCTTTAGGACCAGCCACTTCTATCTTGCAGTCGTGGGTATCTTCATCTGGCTCAGGAGGCTTTCTACACCGTCTGCGTGTGCAAACTGCGGACATGCCCCAGGCCAGACACGTCGAGTGGGACCTGTTATGGGGGCACAGAAGGTTCGTGACGGAGCTACCTATAGCCTGCTCGGAGAGCGAAGCTACGAGTATGATGACGATGCTGTTCGTGCTTCCTTGGAGTCTGGCCCAAGTGAGCCGAGGCCCACGGAGGAGACTGCTGCCAACAAAGTGTGAGAATAGTCGCATGATCGAACTCTGACGGACTCTGGGGATGACCTGTGGAAAGAGCTTAGTGACGATGATTCCAAGTTGGAGCAAGCAATTACGGCAGGAGCATAGAAGACTGCCAACGTATTGGACTGAATTATGGAGACTGGGTTTTCGTTTTTGGGTACTGGTATTATTTGAAGAGCGCCGGCAGGTGGTTGAGGTGATACGGCGTATGGCGTAGATGATTGGAAACATGTTGATCGAACATGGTGGCACTAGATTGGTATATGGAGGCCGGAGCATAGCATAACTACAGTCGTATGGTTACAAATGCGAACGTTCGTTTAAAAAGTATCGTTTATCGAAAGTCATGCGTAAAAAAAATGATTGATTCGCTGCTGGCTAGCCCGTAGGGCTTCATCCTCAAGCAACCCCAAAAAAATCGGGTTATTATGCGACACCTCAGGGATCTATTGAACTGTTAATGATTGTTTTTGAAGCTCTTCTGGATCAAACTTACTCGAACCCTGGCTCCCGAAGGAACGGGCTTAGCAGGCCCGCGCGATAACCACTCCGCCAAAGTGCCTGGTTGTTCTATTTATAGAATATTCGCTCGACTGAAACGTAGATATAGAGTCTGATTTCCAGTACCAGGAAGTAACACATTACTAGATTAATTCTCCATGCCAATCCTATATTGTTACAGCTTGCTTTGTGTGCATGGCGATCGCGTGCATGCCTTCAGTGGGTCTCAAACAGTCACGATAGGTGGAGACGATGACATGGTGCAGGATAGCCGTGGGCACTTGAATGGCTGGTTGCCGATTGAGAACACACACAACCTAGACCAAGCTCTGTTTCAATAAAGAGACGCGATAGTATAGCTGTAGCTCAGCTCCATTCATTGAATAGGGCTGCCTTTATCTTTTCTAGCTTTTGATGTTGAAGTGTTGAGCTCAAAGAGTGCGTGACTCCTGACTGCCCCTGCTGCTGCTGCCAAGCCAAACTAACGCCACTCACAATTGACCTTGTCTATTCTGTCCTCGACCACCGACTTCGCCGCACGACTGTAAATCATGCAACAATATCTACGAACCTGTTCCGGGGGTTTTAATATACAATATCAAACCAACGAGGCCCCGAGTTTGATTTAAGCTCGCCATGTCTGCTTTCCAAGGCCTCTGGACGACTGGGCAAAGACTTAGTGGCCAAAACTTCTTGCGAAGGACGGAGGGACGGACGGAAAAGTTTAAAAAAGTAAGCGCGACAGCGCATTAGATTTGGCTGATGTTGGAAGTGGCCAGCATCATGGTCGATCGAACAATTGTGCCTTCCAAGGTTGCCGCAACCCTACCAATGACTATCAATGAACACCACTCCCTTCGTCGAAGATTAACCTCCTTGGGCAAGACAAGCGCAGGGGTCATGGAAGACCCACAATCAGCCACCCAGCTAGCATGGGAGAAGAATGAGAAGAAGAATCGAATGCACTCCGCGGTCGTCAGAGATCAATACGTTCTCCCCACCGCACATGTTTATTTCTCTGACTCCCGCGTCAAAATACACCGTTCCCCATTGCCACCTCTCCCACGATATAATCCCCCCAATTGACATTAAGGTCTTGTTGCCTTTTGATTTTCCTGGCATGGCTTTCCTTCTTGCGCTGTTTAAGGGCAAACCCACACAACCAGAACATGTTCCCACGGATACAATCATTCCCTTATTTAGGAAAGATGACACTTCATCATTCCGAGCCCTTACCATCGGATATTCCATGCGCTTTGATCATGTGCTAGATGCTAGCAAGTTAGCTGAAGCTTTACAGACACTTTTGGCAATGCCAGGATGGAGAAAATTCGGAGCGAGACTGCGACTAAACGTGAGATATGTATAAAAAGAGAATCTGATGGATGACGGCTAAAATGTTGGTAAAGAAAACGGGTTCGCTGGAATACCATGTTCCTGAGCAATTCACGGCCAATCGGCCATCGGTTACTTTCACTCATGCCAATCATGGAATTTCAATCTCGCAACACCCTCTGGGCAGTCAAGTTCCGGCCCAAGAAAGCACCTTCTTTGTCACGCCCGAATCGCATGCGGTCTTTGAACCTCTAATGTTTCCGGAGAATCATCCTACTAACATGAATGACTGGATTTATACCGATCGTCCGGCGCTCCAGTTACACATTGTATCATTTACGGACGCCACACTGGTATCTCTTTCATGGCTACATACACTTTTCGACGCCATGGGCCGAAAGACATTGCTTGAGGCCTGGACTGCTGTACTGGAAGGTCGAACTCAGGATGTTCCGGAATTTTGTGGTTACGATATCGATCCATTGGAATCACTTGGTGACCCGGCCCCAAAAGAGGTAGAATACATCAAAGATGAAAAATTCGTTCTTGATGGCAAACAGATTTCATTTTGGGGCACGATCCGGTTCGTTATCGGCTTGCTCTGGGAGACTTTCCGATACCCTACCACCGAAAAACGACAACTCCGTATCCCTGGCCCCTACATCGCACGTATCAAGCGGGAGGCTATCGACGAGCTCGCCAAAGGTTCTACTGATGGTCTTGTTATGAACACGATTATTCCTGATCACCCTTTGCCCTTTCTCTCCGATGGCGATATTGTCGGCGCATGGTGGGTTCGCCAATGTTTCTCTGCTCAGCCCTGGGCATCCACGGCTTCTCCAAACCGAACAATCTTGTTTATGAACGTGTTGGGGATGCGCTCTATACTGTCTAAAACAAGCCCTATTTTAATCCCGGCTGGCAAAGCATTCATGTCAAACTGTACAACCGTGATTCAATCCTTCTTCACTCTTTCCGAAGTCCGGTCTCTACCATTAGGCAAATTGGCCGCTCGAATACGCTCTGATTTAGCAATTCAAAGCACGCGATCCCAGGTTGAAGCCTCGCACAGAATCGTCAGAAAAGCCATAGAAAAGACCGGAAACCCTCCTCTCTATAGTGCTGGGCATGGAGACATTGCGATCAGTGCATTCACGAACTGGACCCAGGCACGATTCTACGAGACAGACTTTAGCGCTGCAGTAGTGTCTGTATCGGATAGTAAAGCTGTTAGGGTAGAAAGGAAAGGAAAGCCCAGCTATATACATGCATTCTCCTGGTCAAGCGGATTACCATTTCGGAACTTCGGAGGGTGTGTTGGGAAAGATGCTGCTGGGAACTGGTGGGTCGCGAGCGAGATGAGACCTGATGCTTGGGTCAACCTGGAAAAGACTATTAAGAGTCTATCATAATCATTTTGCAAATATGATCAACTCATATGGAATTAAGTCGGAGAAAATAATGCCTAACTTTACTTTGTATTATGTGTTAATCACGCAGGATTTTACGACTCTTATACTTTATGCACCTGAGGGTGGACTGGAAAACTTTCCTTCTGAGGGCATGTTGGACTACACATCTATCAATGCAGACGAGTGTATACGAATCTCAATTAGGCCACCGGCCGCCGAAAAGGGTTGGCTCGAACGGGTTGCCAAGCACGTCGTATCTTCAGCCTCAGCTGGAACACTTGCAAGGCTATTTCCTTGCACACCCCGTTGAATTCATTTGCAAGGCGATTCCCGCATCTACAGGAGTCGTGCGCCCATATGTCAGGACTTGAAATTGTCGCTAGCGTCGCGGGCGTTGCGACCGCCGCCCTCAAGATCTCGATGACGATGAACGACATCGCGGATGAACTAGGCTCTGCGGGTCGAGATGTTCGCTATATTAGCAACGAGATGGCAAGCTTCTCCCAAGTAAGTTAAACAAATCGGCTTGGAGTCAGGGGTTTGAGATACGAAGGTATCAACATCATCGAAACGACATTGGAATAAGCATTGGTACCGGATTGGAGCTTACGACTTGGCAGGTGCTTCGATTGGTGCACTCTTCACTAGAGGACTCTGGTAAGGTAATTGGATCAGCAATTGTCCAGAGTGCGCTCAATACACTCCCACAACTCATCGAACAATGTGGCATGGTCCACGAAGAGGCAAATGGGCTCATGGCATCACTCAGTTCACCAACAGACTCATATACATATACTTCACTGCCTTTCATCAAACGAGTCAAATTCCTGTTCAATAGGAGTCGAATTGACGTCTTGCGAAGTTTGTTGGATTCATCCAAAGCGACGCTGAATTTACTGCTGGTAACGCTGAACATTGAAATGGCCAAGTCCAAGCATGCAGACAAGAAACTTATGCACGTAGTTCGCTTCCTATTGTCACCACAGCCACTAACGAATTCATAGGGATCAACTCCAATCAGAAAGGAAAGTGTTTATTCGAGTTGTAGCATCACAAAACCGAGCTCTTGACGAAGCACTCAAGGAAGTTGATAATGCAAAAAAGGAGACGGTCAAATTGAAAAACAAAGCTGAAAGCCCAGGCGGGCTGAAGCATACTCTTAGCAAGAAGGAAAGAAAGAAACAGCAGAAAGAAGAAGCACAGAATCCCAAACTCAAGGATGAACCAAAGGACAATTCATTGAAGCCACCGCCAATGTACTCCCTCCAAGCACCATCCGTCTCACAATTTGTGTATAATCCACCACCGATCGACACTTCAACATCATCCGCCGTGATGACGCTAGCATTAAGCCTAGATACACCCAGCACTTCTGCTCATCCCCAACCACCTCAGCCTTCAAAGACATTTCCCCGAACGCCATCCTATGGAAATGATATGCCCAATATGTTTGACTGGTTCACTTCACCACCAGAAACCGAGCCGACACCAAAACATCCTCCACCTCCGCCACCACCGTATGTACACACGCCGCCGGAATCGTCAACTCCACGCTCAGCCACCGAGCGACCAGAGCCTGCCAAGCGTGTATTCTCCGACCCAGGACCCAGACAACCAGATCAAGCCCCCACCAATACCGGATTGAATCCCGGTAACATGTTTCGTGAGCGATCAAGATCACCGTATGGTGCTGCCAGGACGCCTCAGAAGGAATTTCCGACCGTCGAACGCAAACGTACTCAAGGTACCCAAAACCAGCCAGCTGCAGAGAAACCAAGAGCATCGAGTTACAGTGTGAATACTGAGATTCCACGTAAGCCCATGGGACAAGGACCCAAGGCTCAAGATACAAGTGGACCGCCTCCTTCTCCATATCCAGACGCGAACAAACCGTCTTCGCCTCAACAAGAGAAGAAGCAGGAACAATATACATACCAAGCATATAGGCCACCTCAGCCTCAAGCTGTACCCCCAGCCGAACCCCCCAAACCAGCGGGATATCCGCCTTACAGCCCTACTCCACCTCCACCCCCGCCCCCACCTCAACCAACATCCAATCCAAACAAGTCACCTCCGAGGCCGGCAATACCACCTCCACCCCCTCCTCGTCTTGGAACAACTTACGTGGCTCTCCAACCTTACACCAGCCGAGAAGTCGGCCATCTGAATTGCAACATCTTTGACGTTGTAGTCGACGTAGTCACTCACACACCCGAAGAAGAAGCACTGCCTTACCCAACTTTCTTCGATGCCAGTCCAACTCCGAAACATTACTGGCAGGCATCACTTCATGACCGTCGAGGCGCCAGAGGTC